ATACATTTATTTTGGCTTATGCAGAAGGAGAGGATACCTGATCCAGCATAAAGACTCCCAGTGCAGTTAGTGTGTTGAGCTGTTTAAAGAACTTGAATGAGCACATTCCTCCAGTAGTGATGCTCTGTGCTTTGGGCAGGGACGAACCTCATGCATCAGTAGCAGTGGAACAGCCAAGGTCACGGAACCTCAGTGTACATGCAGTGCAAGTGTTTCAGCTGCTTTAAATTCCCCCACATTCTTAATACAAACTTGCAAAGTCACTGTGTTGTAAGGACCTGTGGCCATCCTGCATGGGAAGAGAAGGCAGTAACCTTTTCCAGCTGGAGCCCTGGATGTGTCTTTAATTAGTTTCATGGAAAAGCAGTTCAGAGTAATTTAAAGCTTTTGGCTGCCAGGCTGCTTTTTGGGAAGCACCCACTGATGATTGCTCTGAAGCAAGCTATGGTTTGGAGAAAGAGATGTTTAGGGAAATACTAAACGATGTGTGCAAACAGTGAAATACTTGAATCCCTGGTTTGCTGTCACAGTCCAAACACTGGCTTTGAGGTTTGGAGATAAATCTGCTCTGAAAGAGCAGAGTTTAGAGCTGGGAGGGTTTTGTGTGTTGTCAAGAGAAGCACAAATGCAGTTACAAAAGAGAAACCCAAGAACCATGTGTTGGTGGTTATTATTGGTAAGGCTACTGTTTGCATGAAAGGAAAGCAAGCTTGGCAAATGGATAGTGATCTTTAAAACTGGGATGCTGTCCCAGAGCATGGCATGAGTTTTGTGTGTCCTTTCCGGCATCCTTCCATGGTCTTCCCAGATGGGGGCTCCTGGAACAGCAAGACCATGGTTGTGAGGCTGGGGTGTGCTCAGGCTTGGGCAGTTTCATCTCGGGATCCACTTGCTGGAAGAAGCAGTTTCATGTCCAAAGCCATGCTCAACTGTAGCCTTAAATACTGGCTGCTAACGCACCTTGTCCTTTTAGTCCTGGTGCTGTGCAAGGAAATTCCTTTGAGCCCTGCAGCTGGACAGAAAAGTGGGGTGTGTGATAAAATGTATGTGTTGCAATGCTCCAGGCTCTTCCTTGAAGAGGAGTTCCTTGTGGACAGAGGGTTCACTGCAGCTGCTTGGCAGTGCTTTTGGGACCGAAAGTGCTGGTTTTTGTTAAGGCAAACCCAGCTCTGCGCTGGGTTCCTCCTGCAGGGATGGGAGCAGGAGGGATGTGTTTGCATGCAAGCTAGCTGGCTGCTGAGGGGTGCTCTTAATGGCTGCGGTAACTTCTTTCTCTTACTTCACCCTGTGAGTCTCTTACCTACACAGAGTAACAAAACTGGGCTGAGAAGAGATTACTTCTGTTGGTTTTTGTGTAGTCATTGCATGGATTTAATGGCAGTGAGGATGTGATTTCCCCCTTGCGCCTGTCTGGACTGTTAAGTCAGTCCTGTTTGTTGTGGATCTTCTGTGTTGCAGCTGGGGAAGAGAGAGGTTAAGACAGTAAAATGTGAGTGTAATGAAATACTGTTGGGTAGTGGAAATAATCCTTGAAGCTCATCTTAATGTGCTTGTGAAGAACTGGATTTCCAGTGAATGTCCCTTTAATTTAAGGCTGCTAATAATGCCAGGAGCTGGTATTTGCCACCCTGTTGAATGCGATTTAGCCTTACTCTTGCTGGCTCTGACAGGGGAAGCATCTCTGAGTATTAACTGTAAGTAAAAATGAAACGCTGGTGTTGTCAGGCTGAGGAGGGGACTCTGCAAGTAGAACCTGATTGAAGGGAGACCTGCACAGCTTTGTCTTTGCTGTTCTGCTGAAATCCCTTTTCTGATTAAAACAGGAATTTCACTGGAAAAAGAGAGGGTCAGGGAAACTCTTTAAAGCTCGGTGGTTGAAAGCAGGGAAACATGGGACCTCCTGTGCTGCTGATATCCAGGGGGATTGCTGTGGAAACATTGGGGTCTGCTGCTCAGAGAGGAAAAGTGCTGAGGAGCTCAGCTCAGAGGCTGGGAAAGACAAAAAGCAAATCTGTAGTTGTATATGGCAGGGGAAATAAACCAAACCCACAAGAACAGTGAGCTGTAGAGCTGTTTGGGGAGGGGGGAGCGTCTCTTTCCTCTCTCTTCTGTGCCTCCCCTGGAGTGGTCCCTTTCTCTCTGCAGAGTAGTAGAGGCTTTCCAAACTGAGGGGTATTTTTAGGACTGTGCTCCTTGGCCCTCCTTGTGCTGAGCACAGCTCACTGTATCACATGATGGCAGAGGGAGTCCTGCAAAGAGCGGCTGCCAAGCCCTGCTTGGTGCTTCCTCGGTGCAGCTGTATGCTGTGAGTGTCAGCCCAAGCAGAGGTAAATCTGTTGGGTACAGAGCAGATGTGAACCCCAGAAAGGAGGAGGCAGCGTGGTTCTTAGTTTTGACGTTCAGCTGAGGGTCAAAAACCGGGATCTGCTTCAAAACTGAACCTTGGAGTGGGAGCCTGGTGCCTGCTGCCTGTCTCAGCCAGGTTAGGCCATGTCCTGGTAGGTGAATACCCCAAGAGAGGAGGGGCTCAGCTGTGGTCCTCCATCCTCAGTGCTCAGGCCAGGAGGCTATTGTGTAGAAACTGCACTGTCATTCTTTCCTGTGGACTTCTCAACACAAAAAAGAGACTTGTGTTGCGTTTCAGAAGGGTGGATTTGTGTTCCTGCTGGCTCACCAGGTGATGGTGGGACTGCAGCTCCAGAGCTTGGTGTTTCCTGGGTGGATACAAAGCAGCGAGCAGCCAGGCTGAGCAGCCCTGGGACCAGAGGCTCTTTCCAAGACACACACTTAGGATGGCACAGGAAGCCTGGAGAAGAGCAGGCTAACAGGCTAACAGCCTGGCAGGAGAAGCCTCTTCCTTGCTAGCATTCCCCTTGGTGAGCACTGCCCCGTGGAGACCAGGGTAAGGCAGGGAGCAGCTTTGTTTCGTGTGCTGTGCTTTGTGACAACATTCTGTGCATTGCTTCATGACCGACCATTGTGCAATGGGGTGTTAATCCTGGAAGGACTCATGTTCCAATCCATCAGATAGAAGGGGGAAAAGGTGGGGAAATGAGATCACTGAAGACCATGAATTAGGCAGTGACAGCTGGAAACCTTGTATATCTTGAAAATAGGCTCAGTTTAGAATGTTAGTTGTCAAAGGGGGAATTGTTCATAAGCAGGAATGCCAGTTACCATGAAATAATGTAAAGCCCACCCAAATTAGCCAGACTTACTTGTCTTTGTCCCTGTGCTATCTCTGTATAATTGAGAAGTTGCTCTGCACTTGAATCTGAAGAACTGGGTTTTGGGGAAAGCAGGTCTATTTGCCTTGTCTTGCAAGGCATTTGCCAAGTGAGATGCCTTGTGACTGCCTTTTTTGAGGGAGATAATGTACAAGTAAATGCCCTCAAGAAAAAGGGAATTGCTGAAAATGGCACAGTATCAACATTTACTGCTGGATTTCTTGCCCTGAGAAAGGATGGAAAATGGACTGGCATTTGAAGATTTGTGTGGTTGAAATATCATGAATAAACTGGGGTTTTTTTGTCCTATCTCCTTGCCCTGTAAAATTCTGCTGGTAGAAATCATGTGGTACTTACACTTATGTGTAGATTACTCTGTGTGTGGTTTAGGAGGCTTTGGTATAGGTGCAAGAATGGCAACAAGGTAGAAGAGCATTCTTGAATACTCTCCTCATTCTGTTGAATGAAGGCATGGCAGCAGCATTTGCCATCCTTGAAGGACCATCTGATTTATCTTGGGGCAGGAGTGGAAAGGGGTGAGAGATGAGAGGTGTGATGTTCAAGCCATCTTTAGGATATTTTGGCCATAGTAGCTTTCACTCACAAGAAAAAAAGACCATGATAAATGTGACATTTCCAAGTGTTCCTCATTATTCTTCTGCAGTTTTCTTGTGCTCACTTGCATGCCTGGAAAGGCTTGTGCCCAGCTCGGTTTAGTTTTCTGCAAATTCATGGAATCTCATCCACTTCATGCTGTGAGTGGCTCAAGGAGCATGAGCCGAGATCAGTACAACAGCACGCAGCAAGTAGGCTGTTAGGACAATGTGATGCTGTGCTCCATTGCATGCATGTTGTTTAATTCTGATGATCTGACACCAGGACAAACTGTGTTTGTCTTCTATTGCTGCAGGTAACTCAAGGAAGGGGAGATACATCTCTAACCTGTGGTGGGAAAGGAAGAGGGAAGGAATTCATACAGAGAAGTGTTCCAGACAGAGTAAGTTCAGATACTTCATTTTCTCCCTTGAATTATAAGTAGCATCCCTTATGTGCCCCAGACTTCAAACTAAGCTGAATAATTTCTGCAGTTGATTTCTGATCTGCAGAATGTCTTCAAGTAATTTATTTGAATTGTGTGGCTATGACCAAAAACTTGCCACGTTAACATAGTTAAAATTCTGGGAATAAGGGCCTGAGAGTAAGTTGTTGTTTTTTATTTATTGTGAGTTTGTTTCTTAATATTTGCTGCTTCTGGGAATTCAGTTCCCTGAAATATAACTTCAAATTCAAAGACAATAACACCAGCCAAATAATTGTCATTTAAATTAAGATGGAGAACTGTGGAAATCTGGTTTTGGTTTTATTTAGGCAGAAGGGTTGAAGCAGCTAGAGCTTAAGTAGTCAGAAGAAGAACGTAGGCCTGAAAGGGTCCAGCCCTTTGCACATGGTACAGACTGAGAGCCCCACTCTGTTAGCTCTGCAGTCAATAAGCAAAGCAAAATGATGGGTTTGTGCCTGGTCTGGACTCACTAATATCTTTCCTGATAAAAGTTCTGTTCAGCCAAAAATACCATCCTAATACAGATGATCTTGGGGTTTATGGTTTTCTAGCCTACTATTTAACAATCTATTTTTTAAAATCAGAAATCAGTAATGAATCTTGTTTTAGAACAAGTTATATGCTCTGTTGTTAAAGACTGAGCGATACCATCTCTGGACTTTAAAGAGCCTTCCTATTTTATACAAGCCAATGTTCATCTTGTCTAGACAGAAAGATATGTCTTCATCAGTGCAACTCTTCAGAGATCAGAAGTACCATGAACTGAAAAGTCAGTGTATTCAGCAGAGACGACTCTTCGAAGATCCCAAATTCCCAGCCTCAGATGAGTCCCTTTTCTACCAGTCAGCATCACGAAGGAAAGTTGAATGGAAGCGCCCAAAGGTAACTGATGCTCTTCTTGTGAGGAGGCTCTCTTTGTATTGTTTCACTCCTACCGTCTTCTCTGTGCTGAAACACGGTTATGCAGGTGTGTTCTCCCTCCTGTTTTCCATTCATTTCCTGTCCACATGATTCAGAGAGCAGCCCCTCTGTGTCACACTGCTGTCCAAAATCAAAGTCATGCCTTACTGTAAAAAGACAAAAAGAAAGCATTCTGTGCAGCATAGTCATGCGTTTTACTCTTGATGGCTTTCTAATAACAAGCAGCAGTGGGAGGTGATTCCAGGCATAGTGATGTTTAAATCAGCCCTCTATTTAATTAAGAATACCAGTAATTAATTAAGAATACAGGTAATAGATAGGTCAATACAGGAATGTATTCTGTGACTAAAGCCTTCATTTCCTGGGCCAGTCTGTGGATAGGGACCTGTCTAGGTTGCTGTGATGACAGCAGCATTTCAGCAAGGTGCTGAGATTCTTAATTGAAGTTTCTCTTCAATACCTGTCACTTCTGAGGGCCTGGTGTGTGCACACAGTAATTGTAGTATAACATCTGAGCTTTAGGTACCCACTCTAGTGCCCCACCAAGTTGTTATTAAAGTTAGATACAATCCTTGCAGAAAACACCATAGAAAAGAAAATTTTGCTAACTGAATAGGTATCACCTTCCTGCCTGGAATGCTAGAAACAGCTCTAATAGTAATGTTGGCTTATTGCTTGTTATCAGAGCTCTCTGTTGTTTTCAGAGTAACATGTGCCTCATTAAAATGTATGGGAAAAGGAAATCTCACAGCAGCAAGGGGAATTTCTCCAATTTCAGATCATTTATATGTAAAAACAAATGATTTGTAACTTTTCTTGGAGGAGAGAGTAGGAAAGAGCAGAGCCACAGCAAGGGGTCTATCTGAGGCAGCAAACCCCCAGCCTTCATTGGTGGAGTGGTCTTGTTACACTAAAATACATGCTTAGATATTTCTAACTGCCACCAGTGCAATGAATTGAGAGCCCTCATTATGAGCACATAACACACTTTCTGGTCAAAGCAAATGGGTTCATTTCTGCTCCACAGGGAACTAACTTGTGCTTCCAGAATCAGTTAGTTTGCTCTCTACACAGTGCCAAAAATAAGAGGAAACCATGTGTGTATAGTTGGCTGGCAGGTTACCTTTTGTATTAACTGTACTGGAACCACAAAGCCCAGCTACGTAAGTGCCTAAGAGCTCTGAATGACATCTGCAGTGTAAGAGAGGACTCATCTACACAGATGTGTAGCTGATGCAGGTGAGTTCCCAGAAGGTGCTTGAGCAAAACCTTGTTTTGCAGTGAACTTTATCGTGATACCTTCTTCTTTGGCTGTGTTTCAGAGAGGTTCTGATAAAGTCTTAGCAGCAACTTTTACCCAGAGGGAATGGAGAGCTTTCCTTTATTGATACTGTGTCAGGTCTCTGCATGGCTGTGCTGGAGTTACTGTGGATTTTGCCTTTGACTTGTACAAAATCTTGATTCCATGCCAGTGATTTCATATTCAAAATGAACAGCTATTGTCTGTACACAACCAATAATGCTTATGTGTATTTGCCACTTTTACTAGCGTCTTACCAGGAAAACAAATGTGCAGTTTGCTCTAATTGTGACTAATGTGCTAGACATTTCAAATTGTTAATATTTGGGTCTGTTAATTGGTTTGCTCTGAGGTTTTATGCTTCACATATCTTGTATTTTTAAAGTAGTTCACTGCCATGAGCTAATAATTCATAATAATACAAAATCATTCCCAAATTTGACAGTGTGGCTTTCCATCATAAAGTGTAATCTGCTGACAAGTGTAATGAAAAGGACAGTGGAAGCCTCTAGTCAAATGCATACAGTGTTTTTACCCTTAAGCGTGATGAATCTGTCCTTTATTTCACCCATGCCTACTTCTGGGATTGGTGTTTGCCTTCTGGAAGCACAAACTTGTGTGTCTTAGAAAACATGATGTCAATGACAGTGTGATCTTCATATGCAGCTGGTGCTTGTTCCCTGCCCTCTGTGACAGGGATAACCGAGCAGGCTGACCAGGGCTGTGCTGTATTTGCCAGGATGGCATGAGACTGGGTGGTTATTTTTAATTGCTCCTATTTTTCCAGTTTTCCTGGTGGTGTTCATTCCTCACAGCAGCTTCAATACTGAAATCTTAGTGTGCAGAGCAAGAGCCGCTTTCCTGCTTCTCAGTTTTCCAAGTAAGACATGAGATGGAAGAATAAGGAGGATGAATTTGGAAAACAAGCCAGAGGCATTCCAAAGTCTTCGGTTTATTTTTATTTCTGTAGTGCTTTCCTGTTTGTTGGAGTTTTTCATCCCCTCCTAGAAGGGAAAATACCACACAACCAGTCACAGCCAGGTCAGAGAAAGCCTTTGTGCTTCCTCAGAGATGTGAAGCAAGAGCTGGAGTCTAGACAAGGATGCCATTTTAGGCCATTCTTTTGTGTGTTCGTTCAAGGTGGTGATCAGTTGTATGAAGTCTAGTTGAAGGCCAGTAACTAACATTGTACTCAGAGGTCAATCCTGTATCCAATCCTGTATCCAGTCCTGTTCCACATCTTCATTAAGGATCTGGATGATGATGCAGGGGCATTGGGCTAGAGACCTGCAAAGGTCCGTTCCAGTCTCAGTCATTCAGTGACTGTATGCTGTTGTAAAGCTCTGCCTTCCTTGCTTGCCTGTCTTGCTCCAAGGAGATGGAAGCTGACTAAGTTCTCACAGTGAGCCTGGTGGAACATCTTGAGGGAGAGGAGCCTATATCCGTGCAGAAGAGCAGAGGTGAGGATCTACTTCCCAGTGTTAGTTCATGGCTTGCCTCCTCTCTGCCATATGGAGCTATCTTGCGCTCTAAGTTGACTGGCTAAATGCTTAATTGTCCTTTTGGAGGGATGGACTTTCCAGAGCATTTCCTTCTTTTGGAGAGGGAAATGGCCTTGCAGTGTGAGCATAAGGCAAAGGCCAGAGCTGTCATCTACTGAGGCAGACCCTGAGGAGGTCACTTAGTCATCTTGCCTCATCAACTCACCCAGAAACTACAGCTGTGCCTCTCCCAGTTACTCCCAGATGTTCATACAGAATCTTGAACGTGAAGGAACTAAATGGTGATACTGTTTCCTGTCTTCCCACCATCTACATAGGCAGTGGATAGCCTGTCTGGATGCTTCTACTTGTGTGTAATAGTCCAAGCAAGCAGCTTTTTGCTTTAGGAAGCCTGTGTAGCTGTGTGCACAGCTGGGGAGTGCTGCCCAGAGCACACACGGCTGTGGGATGTTGCTGCTGTTGCTGGTGTCCAAACAAGTACATTTGGATCTGTGAATTTAAACCTATTCTGAGGAGAGGTGAAAGCCAGTATTTCAGTTTCAGCTCTCAAATATGCTTATTCTTTGTTCAGCTACCCTAATTGGCTGGTGGTGGCCAGACAGAAGAGTATCTGTATAGTCAGAAGGGTTCTATTCTGCTCTAATGGAAAAAGGAGTATAAGTGAGGGAAAGAAAAGAGGAGGAGGGGTAAAGGGTTTCTCCCACTTTGTTTTTGTCCTTGGAGCTGCACCTGCAGTGTTAAATGTGTTCTGTTTGCTCATTCCAGTCAGACTCGCAGAGATAGGTCATTAATGTCTGACATTAATTGCTTGTTTTGTACTTTTAAAATAGCTTTGGGAAAGAGAACAAAGACAGGGCAGTGTAAGTTCTGTGGCACCCCAGTATTAAACTGGAGGGCACAAAAGGAGCTGTGTAATTACCGTGCAGTCTCCCTGGGGTGAAGAGGAAAAATCTTGTTACAGGAAGATCATCCAACAAATAGGAGTGCTGAGCCCTGCTTGTGAGCAGTACTGGGCCCTGGTTTCTTTGTGTGCAGGGTGCCCACAACAGTTTATCAGCACTTCGGGCAGGAGTCACCATGCCCAAAGGTTGGATGCTTGTAACGGATGTCTGATGTGGGACAGTCACCACCAGCTCCCGTTACAGGTAGCGGAGAGGAATTGATGTGTTCAGTGTGTGATAGAACTGACATACCTGAAATGTTGGCTTTAGGCTGAGGTGAATCATACTCCACAAGTGCCTGCTGTCTGCCAGCCACTAGCTCAGAGGGTGAATTCAGGGGTTAATGCCAACAACATGAGTTCTTTGCTGGTGCTTCAGATTGTGGGACTCTGCTAATGCCTCAGTTCCTCCATCCACCTCTAAAATAGTACCTGATCTGAGCATGTCCATTTCAAAGGTGCAGCATCTTCCAGACAGCTTCAGTGTGCAGGAGGCTTCCTTGCTGTAACATGTCTTTATGAAGTACACCTTATTCCCTCCTTTGCCCCCAACACCACACAGGGAGGTGCTCCCACTGCTCTGTGCTGTTCCAGGCTGCCACTGAGAGAACAGTGGGGTCAACATATCCCCACTTTCCTATTGCAGCACCTGCACTTGACCCCCTTGTGTCGCATGAGAATTGAGGTATGTCCTTCCCTCTTCTGTTTGCTCCACACCATCACAGAGGGACAGTGTCTCTGCTTGTTGTGGGTCAAGTCATGCAGGGGCTGATCAGAGCTGCCCTCGGACAGAAGGGTCTGAGCAAGGATTTATAAATGGCTGATTTTGCACATCCATTTTCAAGAAGCACTTTTAGGACCTAATGCAGTGCTCGGGGATGCTCCCTTTTAGAATTAAATCAAAAGCAATAATGTAAGACACAAAATACCTGAAAGTTCCTGTTGGGAAAGCCTGATGGTTTGTTGGAAAAAAGAAGAAACAAATCCCTCCCGTCAGTGGCCATTCTTTCTGCCCATTGATACTGGTGTCGGAACCCATCCTGCCCTTTTCCTGTGGTGTACCTGGAGCTTCCATCCCCTCTGGCAGGCTGCAGTGGGGCTGGGGCAGCTGTCCCTGCCAAGAGGTAGGAGAAGCCTCTCACCCCCTGCTATCTCTGCTGGCCCTGGGGTGTCCTTGGCCACCTATACTGGTTAACCCCTTAATGAGGGCAAGCAGTGC